CGGCTTTTTCATTTTTCCCGTTTCCCCTTTGGGGCAAAAATCTTTCAGCCTCCCTTTAATTGTTGCTACATGTGTGTGTGTGTGTGTGTGTGTGTGTGGTGTGTGTGTGGTGTGTGGTGTGTGTGTGTGTGTGTGTGTGTGTGTGTCAGTGTCCGTGGTGTGTGTTTGTGTGTGTTTGTGGTGTGTGTGTGTGTGTGTGTGTGTGTGTGTGTGTTGTGTGTGTGTGTGTGTGTTTTGTGTGTGTGGTGTGTGTATGTGACTCAAAATCAATATTTTCACAATAAAATCATTTCAGTTGTGACGGGTTGGGGGAAATGTGAATTGTCATTACACTATAAAATTTTTCATGATTGTAGCCATGTATAAAGTAAATAACCATTCTTACAGAAAATTTATTACCCTTTTTAACTTTGGGGCTCATTTCCTTGTACCTAGTTCAGCATTAAAACTTTGGGGGGCCCAGTCCTGGAGCTTTTCGTACCTTGTTCTGTAAATACCTTTTTTAATTGTCTTTATTGTGACCAGACCCACCTGGGTTCATTACCTTTGTAAATTGGAGTTCATTACCCCTGTAACTTGATCGCATCAAAATTTGGAGTCCAGTCCCCGGGTCAAATTTTGTACCCCGTAATCTTTTGGCTACCCCCACAGGATGGGGATGGGGGGGTGATTTAATAAACATTTTTAAATAACTAAAACTATCGGCCTGTAGTTCTTTTTTTTGCTTTACTGCCCCCTTTGTGGAGGGGGGGGCTATGTCTGTTTTTTTTAGCAGTTGTGGGCGACCCCTGTGTCCATGCCCCATCTCATAGGATGTTAAAATCAATGATAGGGGTTTCTTGCAGTTTTGATGAAAAGGGTTCCATGTGTCAAAGTAATTTGGGCATCAGGTTAATATCAGTAGGTTTGAGTCTATCAATTTTTGTCTCGTCATAAAAAAATCAGTTAGGGGCTCATTCATTTAGGCCTCAGTTGGATAGCGGCTCGCTAAAAAAACCCAGTCATATTGGGACTTGAGTGCTATCTTTTTTTCTTCATCTGTGTAGGACCCCTCTGCTAAGTAGGGGGCCAATATGGATGTAATTTCGACTTGATTTTTGGATAAGAAAAAAAATATTTTTGGGGTTTTTTCCTTTCATTTTGGCTTTTTGTTCTTTCCGTTTCTTGACTCCTGAAGATTCCTTTTGCTTTTGTTCAAGTTTTTGCTTTTTCTCTGACCAGTGCTCCCCTTTGATTACAGATATATGGCCTCTTTTAGCTGTTGTTCTTCTTTGCTTGCCTATTTAGGGAGCGCCCCTTTTTCTTTCTTGTTTATATCTCTTTCTTTTCCCCTTTAAAAGGAATATGCCTTCAAAAATACCCCGAGTGCTACGAATTAATTTGTTTTGACATAGGTTTGGATCCGTGTTGTTAGACTGTTTCCCGTTTTTATAGACAATATGCAACAGTTAGACAACTTTATTCCAAAAAGTTTCGCCCACACAGTAGGCTTCTTCAGGCGAATACAGAAAGTAGGCAGGGAACAGTAGAGATGTGAAGACGAGTAATCAGTCCATCACCCTTGAGTCGTAGAATTTGGGTTGTCAGCCCTCGGCCTGGAGAATTCAGTTCCAATCAGGAACTATCTGAAGTCAAGCGACAGTGCGGGACTTAAATACTGTCGGAAGGAGGGTGCAGGGTAGTGTAGTAATAGTGAGGGCCACTGAGGGTCATGTCCCTCAGACCCAACATTCCCAATTAAAAAAGCTTGCCCAAAGGGTTTTCTGTACCAAGATGCCCGTGTTGCAGTGTCTGACAAGATGAACATAAAAAATGGTTTTCCTTTTTGTTTTTAAACCCAGTTTATATCATTTGGACCGGGTTGACTTGGTCCCCCCCTTATGTTTTTGTTACTGCGATGAATTTGGTGAAAGGGTTCCCCCGTGACTGTCATTTTATTGGTCTGGGGCTCCCCGCATACTGTCTGAAACCCCGTTATGTTGTGATCTGAGTATATTGTTTTTTGTATGGGAATATTTTGGTCAGATCGTCATTTTAGGTGAAGATGATGTCCCGTGTTTTTCCAAACCCTTTTTGACTATTATTTGTTTGGTTTAAGGTGAATTTGGTGCAGAGATTAAAAAACTGTGTGTGTCGAGTTTTCATTTCTATCTGCCCCCGGGGTTCTCTGCTCAGCATTATTTGCTACTTTCCCTAATTTAGGTCCCTTTAGGTTGAAATCCCCCAGGGGCAAGATTTTGAGGCGGGAGGGAAAGTTTTTTAGACAGTGGTCTTTTTAAAAAGCTGATCCGGGAACTTTTGGGGAAGTTGCATCCGGAGGCTTGTATTGGAGTATAGGTTTAAAAAGTCCACTGGACTTAAGCCAGTTAATGGATGCCCTTTAAAATAAGAAAAAAACGTAAAAAGAAGAGCACGCAGCGGGCCCTACGGGCCCCATGCGAAGCGGCCCAAGTTAAATAAAAAAAAAGGCACAATCCCGTGAGGGAAAAGTCAGGTCCAGTTGCCCTCCCAGTTAGCCATCCCTATGAGAGGCCGGTCCCCCCCCCACTTAAGGGGAGCACGCATCAGACTTACTAGCAAAAGTTGTAGGTCCAACTCCATCTACCCCACCCAATCATATTTTTGTCTAACCTATTTTTAAAATACACAATTTTTTGCTTCTATGCGGTACTCGGGAATTTGTTCCGTCACCCACAACTCTACCAAACCCAGTGTTTTCCTATTCCTTCCAAATCGAATTTCTCTAACTGCGGTTCGTTTTGGGCTAAGCCCTTCTATGTTCATGTTGCTTATGTATTGTTCTTATCACAGTATTATGCCTTTGCATTCTTAATGATACTAATATTTATGGCTGGTTTTGCCCCTGGCGGGGCTCGCGAAAATGACTGAGGAACAACGAATGAAATGAGGTCTCATCACCCCGGGGCGTTCCTCATTCTTCGTCCCTCCCCGCCTCCATCACCCCCCATACACTGGACCAGGACCGGTGAGTCCTCCCTCACTTCTACCTCATCCTCAATAAGGGTCTAAGTGTAAACATGCCACCAAACATATCTCTAGAGAGGCACTTCAGTCAAATAACCATATCAACAACCACAGAAACAATGTGTCTTTCAGGTCTCTGTAAATGCTCTGCATACAAGGGGCTTTGGCATGTTGCACTGTAATAACTGTATTCCTATGTACTTCACTGTATCATGTTCAAATTAATAAATAAATAAATAAATAAATAAAGATGGTTATTAAGATTTTTCACTCGTCAGGGGTTTTGTCGCTCCAATACCGAGAAAAAAAGGTAAATTATAGATATGGCGAAAGTCAAATGCTGAGAGAGGGGAGAGAGAGAGAGAGAGAGAGAGATAGAGAGAGAGAGAGAGAGAGAGAGAGAGAGAGAGAGAGAGAGAGAGAGAGAGAAGAGAGAAGGAGAGAAAAGGAGAGGAGAGAGAGAGAGAGAGAAGAGAGAGAGAAAAGAGAGAGAGAGAGAGAGAGAGATGAGACAGAGAGGGAGAGGGGAGAGAGAGGAGAGAGAGAGAGCAGGGCTCTGTGGTGTCCCTGTTTTGTTTAGGTAGCATGCTATGTGCCAGGATTTTGAGAATAATGAGTATTCCTGTATATTGAGCTACGGTTTTTAGTGATACCCATGGTTGAAGCCCTAAACAGCATGTACTGCGCTGGTCTGATTTCCTGATGACTAGTTTTGGCATTATGGCAATCCATGAGACGTCCACAGGTATTGTGATGGATGACACAAGTGTTCAAGTCTCTCTCTGGTACGTGGGATGATGTTCCTTAATACATTCTTTAAGATCTCTGGAAGTTTCCCAGTATTTAACTTGTCACATGTCCCACATGGAATGGTGTATACCGCGTGTTGTGTGTTTCTTGTAAGTAAAAACCTCCCAACAGTGCTAGAAGTTAATATGGCTTTTTTTCGCAATATAGTTGTGTACGTTATCAGCGATCTGGTCGAAGGCAGAACTATAACATATTTGGTATTTGTAATTGACTAGCTGTGTTGTCATCCTTCTCAGTCGTTGACCCCTCAAGGAAGGTTCCTTGATGTTGGTGAGGGGGCTTTTGATTTAGGGAATTGGATCTGTGCTCCAGTTCCCTGAATTAAGCCTGAATGCCTTCCACATCCCCCCCCCAGGCGCTGTATAATCCTCCGGGTTTAGCGCTTCCCCCTTGATTATAATAATAATAATCTACAGTCGTTGATAAAATGGCCAGGATAATGATTAATTAATTTGGCTCACAAGAATGTTAACTTTGTTATCGTCATTAAGGTATTTCCAAGCTCATCTTTGACCTTATGATTATTTACCAGTGATTCCTTTCTAACCAGGACCCAGTCATGCAGGATATTTCCTCTAGTTGGCTTTGTTACAATTAGCAACTTCCTAGACCTAGAGGTAGTCAGGAGTGTTTTCCTGACTACCTCTAAGAAGTTGCTAAACTCTAGTTTTCCTGTCAAGTTGCCTCAGATAATTTGGCTGAAATTAAAATCTCCAGTTAAAACCACATTTTCATATATATTTGCCATTACATTTTTTTTTTTGCCATAGAAGTTGACCATGGTCGCTATCTAGGTTTGGAGGTCTGTACATCACACCTAAGTTCAGCTTCTAACGTCCTTTGAAAAACTGCAGCCAAGTACTGTGTATCTCTTTCCCCTTTATTTCTTGTCCATAACATACATCGCAACTGCTAACTACCCTTCCCTTCTTCTCCCTTCCCCTCCCGTAGTGTCTTCTTGCCATCTCTATATTTTCTCACTTTAGTTGTGACTTGACAATGATCCAGGACTGATCAAAACGTCGTCTTAAGTAAATATCAATTTTGCTACCTTTCCTGTTAATTAAATTAGCGTGAAATAATTTATATCTCTGTACGTGGCATCCAACAAACGTGCCTTCTTTTTCAGATTGAATCAGGTCTCGGTTACTGCACTAATATCAGTGTTTCCTGCATATGCAATTAGTCTACCTTAACTAGATGAGTGTAAGTGGGTTCTCAATCTTCCCAAACTGCTGGCGAGCTTCCCTAAACTGCTCCACCAACATCTCATGTTTTTGGCCCACCAGGGTACTCCCAGGTTCTCAAAATGCCGCTGTGGACCAGCTTCACCCTGCAGGAGGTACCGCCGTCGCAGAACTTAACAGAGATGTGGTCTAGCGATCTGCGTCTCAACAAAACCACCACAGCCACCTGCAGTTCATATTTTAACTTGACAACACCCATGGGTGAGAACATCTCTATGTTCCCACTCTTCCCTCCTGGTGAGTCTTACTGCTACAGCTACAGTCATTTCTGCCTCATACAATGTACTGCCATAATAACTTGGTGACCGTGTTACAAACTTTCATAATAGTTGGATAATAAGTCACAATACGATGGGTGGCACAAGTGCCAAATAACCCACATTTTCTACAATTACCTCTAAAAATTCTTAGGACTGCAACAGTTGTACCTCTGATGTGCATCTGATATTAACATAGATCACTAACAAGGTTCCAACAAAGCTAGACTATCATTATTAAAACATATATTATATTATTTTACTATAAGGGATGAATACTTGGATACATACCTGAGGGTTGTGGGGGTCAACCTCGTAACCTACATGACAGTTGCAAATACCCTATAGCACAATGGAGCCCCTTAATGATACATATTACCGTACCTGACATGCACCTAATGTGTAGAGACGTGTGTAGTGGGTTTCTCACTGACAATGACAAGTCTTTGATTTTAACCTGGGAGTTGCCTGTAAGTGATCGAGCCTGTAACATGGTTACCTGCGTTGCAGCAACCATGCTGCAGGCTGCCGTAGTGGCCATGTTGCAGACTGCTGTAGTGGCCATGTTTTTGTACCTTGTTCAGCTATCAAAACTTTGGGGACCAGTCCCTGGACCCATTATGTATCTCTGTAATCCTTTGACTACCGCCTACAAGATATTAAACTAAACTGATGTAATGATGTTGCAAAATGCCGTAGTGACCATATTGCAGGGTGCTGAAGTGATCACGTTTCAGGCCGCTGTAGTAATATGACTGCGACTTTGCAGACTTTTCTGTGGACGAGTCACTGCCTCCTCTACCGTTCCTTGTGAGCAACTTAGTGCCGGGCTCAGCACAGCTGGAGGCTCCCTGGCAGGTCCTGATGGAAGAGCTGGTGCCGGCCTGGCTGGATCTCTACGGACCTCTCAACCTGCTACTGGGGCCAGTCTTCGACAACAACGCTGACTCCCTTCCTGACAACTTAGAAAACTTCAGGTGGGAGACTCTGAACAAATTATTAATTGTTATCGAGGAGAAACCGATGAACTTGTAAGGAGCATTAGAAATACTATCTGATCAGAACTGGCAGGCAGTTGAACAGTCTTGGACCCCTGACACTTATTGTGTTATCTCTTGGTGTGCTAGTGGCGCCCCTGCTTTTCACTGGGGGAATGTTGCATCTTCTGCCGAGTCTTTTACTTTCATAGGGAGTGATTTTCGGGTGCAGTTTTGGGACTAGTCCCTCAAGGATTTTCCAGGTGTATATTATCATGTATCGCCTGTATTCCAGGGAATACAAATCAAGGGACTTCAACCGTTCCCAGTAATTTAGGAGCTTTATCGTATTTATACGTGCCATGAAAGTTCTCTGTATATTCTCAAGGTCTGCAACTTCGCCTGCCTTGAAAAGGGCCGTTAGTGTATAACAATATTTCAGCCTTGAGAGAAAAAGCGATTCGAAGAAAATCATGGGCTTGGCATCCCTAGTTTTGAAGTTCTGATTATCCATCCTGTCATTTTCCTAGCAGATGAGGTTATTACATTGTTGTGGCCTTTGAAAGTGAGATTCTCTGACATTATCACTCCAAGGTTTTTCTACATTAGTTTTTCGTTCTATTGTGTAGTTTGAATTTGTTACGTTAAGTTAGATAGGTTTGTCAGGAAACAGGACAAGTGTTTCCTAATGCGGGTCTTAGTCATTTGACTTAGTCATTTAACCCACAGCTGGAGCTTTTGGTCATCTGACCAAGGCCTTCCACTGCCTTACTGGTCCACCCCTTTAAAAAAATGTTGTATTATAGAGGAAAATCCATTTGGGTCATATACTTTGTATCTGTGATTATTATTTAGGGGACCCCCACTAAACCCTTGTCATGTAGTGTGTGGAGGAATGGGAGGTAATCAGGTTTGAGTCAAGGAAGGGGAGGACAAGTTGAATTCCTCGGATCAAGAGCATCAGGGAACCTTCCTTGAAGAGCATGTTTTATGAATGATTCCAGTGAACATCGCCCCCACGGCCCAGTCTCGGACCAGGACTCCTAAAATCAGACAGGAAATGTTATGGGATTCAGAACAGTCAGTCATACACACGAAACGAAAATTAGGTATACTGTATACTGAGTAAGTTTGTAAGATTTTAATGAGACAAAAAAAAAAAAAAGACTAGCAATCCTGCCAAAGTGCAAAACTTTTAACAGGCTTCCATTTCAGACTTAGTGCAGTGAGGAATATCTCAGGGTATCCCTGATATTGTAAAGAATATATCAGTGGATACACTGTGAGGAAGTTTTTTTAGGCACAGGTACACATAAGTACAATTATCATACATAGTGTAAATTACCTAGGATAACCCCCCCAAAAATCGAAGTGACTTATTTCCATTTGGATACCTCTGGCCTCATTATTCCTCACTATGCTTCCATGGTAGCATCTCACAGGATGATTGCTGTCTCATCTACTAAAAATTTAAGCATGTTTTAAAGAAAAATTCTTTTAAATCTATTGTGATTCTTCAGCATCCCAGAAGTTCCATCTGACCTGTTCGCTGTGGTGACCCGCTGCAAGGTAAATGTGACCTCGATTGACCTCTGCCCTCCCAATAACCTGGACGCTGTATCCTTCATTATACCAGAGGAGGAGGTCGTCTCTAACAACTTGGTGAGCCCACATCAACACATTGTATTTATGGAGAGCATTAAATCCATAGGGGTCATGGAGTACCTGGGCAAGCAGAGACTATGGCACCATCAACCTAACTACAGTATCACCACTACCCTGACCACTGTAATAAGCATCACTACAGTCACCATTAGGGGTGCTCATGGCTTGGTTGGTAATGTCCTCAGATCACTCACTGAGGGTCCGGGATCGATTCCCGGCACGGGTGAAATGTTAGTCATGTTACCTGCTGCCCCTGCTCACCTAACATTAAATAGGTACCTGGGTATTAGTTGTTGTTATTATTATTATTATTATTATTATTATTATTATTATTATTATTATCATAGAGTGTCTCAAATATCTACGTCACAGTTATTACTGTCGCCGCACTAACATCATAACCATGATCACACTCTCCACTAACATCACTATTAACATCACCATAACCACCACCACCACCACCATCACCACCACCATTAACGTCAACACAACCACCACCACTAACATCACAACAACCACCACTAACATCACAACCACCATCACCACCACAACCAGCTCCACCAGTAACATTATTTATCTTGTAGGAAGACACAGCCTACCTGCTGGAGTTCAGTGCCAAGGTTCATGATGTGGAGTTGGTCACTGGACTTACCTTCTTCCCTGCTCTGGACTTCCAACCCCGCACCTCCCTCATTCTCAGGATCCAGTCACAACTATGGAACACATAGTGCTGCTATACTTACAATTGTCCCTATGATTATATTCATGGAAAAGTGCTAAATCCACAGGAATCATTCTGCTACACTCACTAATTGTAAATTGAGAAAAAAGAGTAGGGTCGATGGGATGCTAGGATTTTTGTTTTTAGAGTGGTAGATCAATGAAATGAATTACAAGAGGATGTATTAAATGTTTCAGCCATTGGATATTTAAAAAGAACAAAATGATATGATAAATGAAACCACAAATGTAATTCTGCTCCTGTACCTACAAATAATTACAATTATTACATAGGTCAGTACCAATTTTGTTTAATTAGTACAAATTGTGGCTGACTTCTGGTCATTAGGCCCAAGTATTATTATTATTATTATTATTATTTATTAATTTAGAAGTTTTCACATTTATGTGGTTGCTGGAGTCAAGCCACACCACTGAACTTAACACTTGCCAGATCACTCTTTCCTAGTTCTGTGGGTCCTATAATGACTTATTCTTAAAATTATGTACATAGTCTGCCTCCACCAGTTCTTCAAGATCATTCCACTTCCTAACCACCTTGAGACTGAAGAAATACTTCGTGACATCCTTGTAACTCATCTGTGTTTTTAGCTTTCAACTATTTTAATGTTACTGATTGTGAAAAGGATTTAGAGGTTCTGGTTAGTAGTAATCTGAAACCAAGACAACAGTGCATAAGTGTTTGCAATAAAGCAAACAGAATCCTTGGCTTCATATCAAGAAGCATAAATAATAGAAGTCCTCAGGTTGTTCGTCAACTCTATGTATCTTTGGTTAGGCCTCATTTAGATCATGCTGCACAGTTCTGGTTACTGTATTACAGAATAGATATAAATATGTACACTGGAAAACATACAAAGGAAGATTGCACAGTTGATCCAGTGTATCAGAAATCTTCCCTATGAGGACAGACTGAGGGCCCTGAATCTGCACTCTCTAGAAAGGTGTAGAATTAGGGGGGATATGATTAAGGTCTATAAATGGAAAACAGGAATAAATAAAGGGAACGTAAATAGCGTGTTAAAAATATCCAGCCAAGATAGGACTCGCAGCAATGGTTTCAAGTGGGAAACAGAGTTGTGGATGAGTGGAACAAACTCCCGAGTAACATCATAGAAGCTAAAACGTTGTGTAGTCTTAAAAATAGGTTAGATAAATACATGAATGTGTGGGGGTGGGCGTGAGTTGGACCTGACTAGCTTGTGCTAGTAGGTCTGATGCCGTGCTCCGTCCTTAAGTGGATGTGACTTGGTCCAGATAAGGTTGGGTCAGTGGCATAAGCTGGTAGGCAACTTGGACCTGCCTCGAATGGACCAGTAGGCCTGCTGCAGTGTTCCTAGTTTCTTATGTTCTTTGTCCCTGATTATCTATTAGCCTCCTCTCAAACAGCTTGTCCTTGTCTGCCTTATTAATTATTTTGCATGTTGCTGTCATGTCTTACCCTTCTGTCCTTAGATTCAATTCCTTTAGCTTTTCTTTGTACCTCATACCCCTTAGCTCTGGAACTAGTCCCAGTGTGTACTTCAGCACTTTCTCCAGTTTCTTAACATGCTTCCTGAGGTGAGTTCAGTGCTGGTGCTTTATACTTCAAGATGGGCTTGATATATGGTGCATAAAGTACTTGGAATGACTTTTTTTTTTGAGATTCCTGAAGGCCAAGCTCAGATTTGCCGGGTGAGCATTGGCTGCAGAGGTTCAAAGTGATGTGAACCTCTGATAGGGCGGGCCTTTTGCTTACTTTCAATAAGGTTTTCTGTTTTTCCCCCCAATCTTCATAAACCTTGCTTTGGGGTTTAAATTAAGCAAATTATTGCCCAAAAATTTGTATTACTAATTTAGGGCTTTTCTTTTATGCCTACTATTGTACTAAAACTTTTAAAAACTACATTTTTGTATAGAAAAAAGAAATAAAAATAAAATGGTAAATAAAGGGCCCTTATTTTCTCAAAGACCTTGCCCCTTTGAAGAGCACCCACAAAAAATTATGACACATAAAAAATTTTTATGTTTTTTAAAAAGTGTGGAGTTTTTGGGGCAAATATTTTTATTTTTCTAAAAAATTAAAATGATAAAAATAATACTTTTTGCTTTTTTTTAAACCATCTGTGACTTTTTTCAGGTGTTGGTTAATATTCTACATTGCATGTGCTTTCTTTAAATTTGCCATTTTTATTTTTCATTGTAGGTCATAAATTTAAACAGTTTTATTTCCCCAAGTGATCGTCAGGTCATTAATTTCAGTTTTCTTTATCACATGAGTGTAAGTTATTAATCCTTTTACTTTCCCTGTGGATTGCCATGTCATTATTTACTATTTTCTTCATTGAGGAGAAAATTTAAAAAAAAAAGTAAAATAAAATTTAAAGGAAAAATGGAAATCTCATTAGACATGTGAAGCATACTTGGAAATGAAAGTCATATAACTAAGACCACGATCTTTTTCAGTAAAACCCAAACAAAAAATCTTAAAAAAAAAAAAAAAAAAAAAAAAAAAAAAAAAAAAAAAAAAAACTTACTTTTTTCCATAAAAATAAAAAAATCCTAAAGTTTTAAAAAAGTCTAGTAAAGAAAAATTTCCCTTCTTTAATAAAAATTTATTAACATGATACACCCGTACAAGAAATTTTCCTTGAATAAATTTTAATTAAATTAATGAGACAATAGATAGTAGGTTGGTAAAAGAAACCCACCCAGGGGGGTACTACCGTCCTCCCAAGTGAGTGTAAATAAAGCCTGTAATTGTTTACATGAGGTAGCTTTGTGGTGTCCTTTTTTCGTCTCAAAAAACATGCAAGATTTCAGGTACATCTTGCTACTTCACTTACACTTGGTCACACTCACGTTTTTTTTTTTTTTTTAAACAATCGGCCATCCCCCCCGGGGCAGGGGAATACAGTACAAGCATATTTACCACCCCTCGGGGTTTTCTTCTATTTTCTTACTAGTTCTTGTTTTGTTTATTTCTTTTCTCCAGGGGGAATGGAAAGAATTTTCCTCCTAAGCTATGCGTGTTGTAAAAGGCACAAAAATGCCAGGAGCAAGGGCTAGAACCCTTTCCCCGTATAATTACTAAAAGTAAAAAGGAGAAACTTTCGTTTTTCCTTTTGGGCCCCCCCCCCCAGTGGGGGTACGGCGGTGTGTTGAAAGAAAAAAGAAAAAGAGAAACTTTTGTTTTTCTTTTTGGGCCCCCCTGCCTCGGGGGGAACGGCCGGTTTGTTGAAAGAAAAAAGATTTAAAGAACAGTGTTTTAAAATTTTTGGGGTCTACAACACCTGGGGGGTGGGAAATTTTTATTCACGGGGGGGTTCTAAAACCCACAAGGGTCATCGCCCTCAGCAATGGCAGGTAATCCTTAGATAACTTCCCCCCCCCCCCCCAAAGTTGAAGGAAACAAAATTAACTCTTTCACGTCTCTTACATAGTTTTGCATTATGATGCCGTGTCACTGCTTTTAAAACCGCTTTTTGAGCCGCGCCCCAAATATGCTGTGAGTGGTAAATCTTGGCCCAAACTGAGAGGTGGGCTGCTTCAATTATTGGGTGCCATAAAAACCATGCCCCAAACTTTCTGTTATATTTTATTTTCTAAGAAATAGGTAAAAAATAATTTTTTTTTGTGACGATGGTTCAAAATGGGGGGGGGGGGATGGATTAATGAAAAAAGACAGGGTTTCATTAATGGGTGGATTGCAAAACAGCTTTTTTTTTGGATTCTGTTTTTAAATTGGTCAAATTACTGACTTCTGTGCAGTTATAAATATTCTTTAGGTGGATGGGCAGTTTTCTTTCCCCAACGCAGAATGAAAGGGGTACTAGTAAAATAACAAGAATTGGCAAATTTAGCAAAGGAAAATGGCTTAAATAGGATCAAAGTGGGCAAAAAATTTATAGTAAAATTTCACCTGTGTTTTTTGTAAATTTTCCATCAAATTTTGTATTTTTGGTGTTTTTACTTTAGAAAAAAATTCTTTCCTTTCAGAAGTAAAATTATTTTTTTTTTAACCCCAACTTTGTCACCTTTAATTTTTCGGGTCCGACAGTAAAAGGGTTAAATGCAATAAGTTTAAAGAAAAGAAAACTGTTTTTTTTTAAATGACAAATCAAAATTTAAATGAAAAATATTTAAAAAAAAAAAGTTGTTTTCTAACATAAAAAAATGATTTCAGGTTTTCTATAAAAATTTTTTTAACTTTACAAGTTTAAGCTTATAAAATTTGTAACAGAATAATAAATAAAAAAAATTTTTGTCAGGTGCCAAAAAAAAAATACGGTATTTTTTTTTTTGTATCACGAAGGTGAAACTTGTATTCCTCCCTGTGGGTACAAAACTCTACAATTAACAAGTACTTGTTAAAATTTTCCCTTTTATTTATGAATAAAAAATAAAGAAGACCCTTTAAATACACCAAAACAAGCATCAAATACATATAAACGACCCTTCATTAATGATGGCAGGCTTTAATTATTTTTTTCAGTCAACCATTTCTATGAAAACCGGTTTAACCAAAAAGAAAAATAATTTTTTTATTTGCCTTGTGGTTATTTAAATATGGAGCAAAAGAAAGTAGTTGCTCCCAGTTTTTTGGTACATACATCCCTTTCTTAATAAAAAAAAGTATACAATAAAAGAAGCCTGTAATTTTTTTAATATTGGTAACTTTTGGGTTTTTTTTCCCATTCAAAAACTTGCCAGTTTAGGTACTCTTGAAAATTCTATTACACTAACAACATGTACAAGTACGGGGACCCCGGTTAACGATATTTTTTCACCCCCAAAGTATTTCAGGTCCCAGTACTGACCGAATTTTTTCCCCCTAAGGAATATTTTTGAAGTAGTTTAGTCCATTTCAGAGCCCAAAACATACAGTAAAAAACGCATTACAAAATACACTTACATAATTTGGCGCATTCGGAGGTGATCTTATGCGGGGGTCCACTGTATTTATACAACCCTTTCCGGATTTTTTCTTATTTTCTTACTATTCTTTTTTATTTCCACTTATCTTGGGGGAAATGGAACAGAATTCTTCCTCTGTAAACAGCATGTCGTGGGAGGCGACTAAAATGCTGGGAGCAAAGGGTTTAACCCCTTTCCTTTTACATTAAAAATTTTTTAAAAGAGAAAACTTTCTTTTTTCTTTTTGGGTCACCCGCCTCAGTGGGTTGCAGCCTTGTTGAAAAAAGAATGTGTATACGGGTTTTGCTTTTTTTTGGTTTCTATGCTCACTTAATAATTTTTAGTGTAAACATGTTTCAGGCTTTTATTACATTTTAAAGTGAAAAAAGACTTTTACTTTACAGCAAACTCAAAAAATAAGTCTTTATAAGGGGGCCTCCTGTATAGTCCCTTTTTTAGTGTCTGTTTTTTTTAAAAAGACTCCTTCATGGATTCATAATAAGCCTCTTTAAAAATATCCACACAGGGGGGTTAAAAAAAAAAGTATTAAAAAATATTAAACACAGGGTAGTACTAGCTTAATTTCCAAAAAATATAATAATTATGGGTTTTTTTACTGAAAAAAAAAAAAATACACCTGCTATTACAAACCCCAAGTGCTTGTTGGGGTTAAAGTTATTATTATCACTAGCTGTCTTCCAACTGGGTGCCTGCTTCTGTATAATTAAAATGTTGACCTTTTATCAATAAGGGGAATTTTTTATATGATGCCCTGAAGGTAAAAAGGTGAACAAAAATAAATGCACATGGAACAAACCTTTTTGAGATTACTGCAAGGGGGCAGAAACTGTAAACTTAACAGGTGTGAAGCGAATCTGCCACCCCCTCGGGGCATGGGTAAAACCGATGAGCACTGCATGAGCCTTAGTCATGGTCCCCAAATTCCCCTAGCCCACTTTTTTTATCTTCTTGTCGTGACTTTTTTATTTTGACATTTACTAAACTCTGAGGAAGTCAATAATGTTAATTGAATTTATCAGGTAGTAAGCTCCTGGGTTTGGTGTTAGGGGATTTAAACCCCTAAACGGTAAACGTAATAACTTTTTTTTTAACATTTTAAAGTATGTAAAAAAAATGATTTCTTTTTGTTTTTTTTTACATTTGAAAATGTGTAAAAAAACTTTGATCTACTTTTTTTTTTTTTTTATTTTGAAAATAAGTAAAAAAAAATTTTAGATCTACTTTTGTAGCATAACTATGAAGTAGATTGTTGGACCGTTTACGGTTAATGGACCCTCAATCCCCCGGGAAATCGCATAGGAATTTTGAAAACCCCAAAGGCATAAAATTTACAGCAAGCCCCTCACCTAACTAAAATTGGTTTTGTTTTTTCATATCATTACTTACAGCGAGTGTAATTTTCCACAATAATTTTTACACATTTTTTCTAACATTTCCCTTAAAAACTGTCTATTTTTGAGCCTTTACTTTAAAAAAATTTCGTGTCAATTTTACCCACATGGTGAAGTCTTTTGCCAAAAAAACTTGAAATTTGTCGGCTCACCCGTATACCCCCGACCTACGTTTCTTTCATATTCAATCTGTTAAATGGCACAAAAACAATTAAATTCAAAAAGAAAAACCTTAAAAATTTACTACAATCACTTTACAAAAAAAAATAAACGAACTACTTTTTCTTTTATATAAATTACACAGTTGAAAAACTTAGGAATTCATATACAAAATTGGGGGATATAGGGTTTATAGGGGGGAGGAAGGAACAAAAAAAAGGTA